AAATAAGTAGAGCACTGCCAAAATGTAAAACCCCAAAACCCCAAAACCCCGTTAGGAATTATAATAAATGATAAAACATAAGGATGAGATTAAATTAGTATATCATAATATTTATTTGAGGATAAAATGTCAATTTAGCAGCTAAATGCACTTTTTTAGAAAGGTCATCCAATCAGTGAATATAACTTTGACACGGGCAAGGAAATAGGAGGGATCAGTTACTCCACTCTTAAGCATGAAACTACTGTCACGACTGACTCAGTTTAGAATGAGGAGCGTCTAGTTTAAAAGGTGAATTTGGATGACTCACTAGAGGATAAAAGGGATATCTCTATATTCGAAAGAAGCAATAAGATCAAAAAAATAAGTGATGACATCCAGTTCAACAAAACTGCTGGCGATTTGTAATAGTCTTTTGAAACAACCAATCATATTGACTACTATGATTTATTTCAGAGAAATAATATCATCAGCGAGGATCAGACTTTCATTTAAAACTAATCAAGGCAGAAAATATTCCTGCAAAATGAAGGTACCGGGATTATAGGCGGAGGCAGTGGAGGTACAGGAGCAGGTGATAATTCTAAATTTTTGTTTAGTGATAATGTATCCATGAAAGTCAACATAAAGGTACCAAAGACCTATCTGGATGCCAACCTGTTCTACCCTGATGCTTTTGAAAGCCAGCCCTTTATTGATATAACACAGGCCAATGTGAACAAAAAGTATATAAACATAATGAATGGTAATAATTTGAATAATTTCACCCAAGATAATTTACTCAACGTCAATCCTGATAATCTTGGAGGTCGATCTCGTAAAAAGAAAAAGCTAAACCAATTCAAATTTGATGATACACTTACTCACAATAACCTCATCTTAGGTGAAGAAGACGAGGATGGATTGCTTCATTTAAACGCTGATTAGAGTCATACTATGAATCTGGTTGATAATGAAAGTTCTTGGAATGATGAGGCTATGTTTAAAATGTTGAATTTCGGTGATGAGCAGCACAAAATACTGCTTAATAGAGACCATAATGACTTAGATGAGGACTAGAAATCTGAGGATGAACCTCATGAGTTGGAGGACTTTATTGCAAATAGTCACACTTTGAACTTTGAGAACTCACTCATGTAGAATTTAATGCTGGATGACGACCAGACAGCCTTGAATATTAGAAATTTATAGTAGCTGCAATCGTAAAACTATAAACCCCAGCAAGCTAATCTAAGGCATTTAGTTAACTATATTCATGGAGATCTTTATCACTGTGCTATTTGCTCATCAAAGTTTGAAGAGCCCGATAACCTTCCAAGAGTTTTGTTCTGTGGTGACTGTCTTTGCGAGAAATGCATTAGAGAATCTATACTCCCATAAGATTAAACTGAAATAGCACAAGCAAAATCAACTAAATATTTGAGATGCTTAATATGCTAATAATAGCACAACTTTAAAATGACTAAGAGTGGCTTTGTTGTGTGCAATGATAATTTTGTTAAAATAAAAGATGATAGTGGGATGGTTAATTACAATGGAAATGGAGAGTAAAACAAATTCTAAGAGGAAGATGTATAAAGGATGAATTATTAGGAAGAAGGGTCAATCGACGAACAGGCTTTTGATATTCCAGAAGATTTGATAATAAGATCTATTCCAATCAATGTAGAACTCATTGACTTGATAAGAGAAAAAAGAAATAAAGACAATCAATTATCATTAGTCCAACAAATCAGCAAATTCATTTAACTTGATTAGTTGAGTAAATCAGAAGCTAGGTACTACTTAAAGGAACTTTGCAAAATATGTGAGGAGGATATGCAATTCATTCAAAATGATGATGAAAACGATATTGATATCGATAGTCTATTAAACTCTCCCATCAATCATGACAACTCTATTGGATTCGGCAATAATTTCCGCAAAGAGACTATGTTTAGAACCATCAAAGATAAATTTACTAATTTGATGTCCTAAGATGCCAAATCAAAGTACTAAAATCCACTCAATCAGAGTAAAACCATTCTAAAGCAAAAGGCTAAACAGGATCAGCTTGAAAGATTGAATAATTCTAATAATAGTGGTAGCATGGGTAGCCTATCGAATTCATTTAAGAACATTTCTCCCTTTAAGAAAGCTTCAGAGGATACTTAGAACAAGTATAAATAAATACTTCAGAACAGCAAATCCTAAATACTTCAAACTCGAACTTAGTCAAAGAACATATTCAAGTAGCATTTTCCCTCTCAAACAGTAAGTAACAATCATACTCATACCCATCATCACCATCATCAACACACAGGCTGTACTCATTAAAGTTAATCACATCATATGTGTAAAAATTGTGGCCTCAAAATACTCTAAGGAAATTCCTAGCAAGCTCTTAGTTTACTCTCCAAAAAGCATTAAAAGATGATCAAGAATCACTTCGGCCCAGGAAATCATGCACATTTTGTAGCATCTAGAAAGGATATTACAAAGAATTTTGAGGACTTGGACATATAAGAAGATGAAGAGGGTTTAGATGAGCGTGAGCCAGAGAAGGCTATATGTCCAGATAACTCTAAAGCATTATTTAATTCACTAAACCCCTAATAACAAAGATATATACAGCAGCAGACTGGCTTAAATCTCTGAAATCTTAACTTTGGAGAGGATTTCCGCTAGTAAATAGAACAGCAAAGATTAGAAAGCAGTGAAAAGCTAAAAGAGTTTGATGAGTTAAACCCTCTTTAAGATTAAGAATAGAATGATCAGAAGAATAGCTCAAGCAAGAAAAATAAGAGAAAGAAGAAGAAGAGACAGAAGGCAAAGCAGTAAAAGCAAGAGTAAAAATTGCTCTTAAAGAATGGAGTCCAGATGGATGAGTCATAAGATACAGATCTATATTCAATGCTTATACCACCTGAAGAATTCCAATAAAATTTGAAAAGTAACGTTGGCTAAATCTCAAAGCAAGCTCTCAGGAATCCATTCTAGGAATATATGCCTAATGAGAATTTCTACTAACTCAAAAGCTTGCAAGATAAGTTCCAAGGGCTCAAAGATAACAATCTTAATTTCCCGTTGCTATGTGAGAATTGCTGCAAAGACTTTGTCATAGCACCTGATGCCTTAAGTATGAACTATCTGAGTTCATAACAGATACAATTACCTAAACTTTAAAGTCAGATGAAAAAGGAATTACTTGAAGCTGGTCTATTGACTGTCATATCCCATTAATGTCTTGTCTGTGTGTCATAGAATAATTCAACAGGATCTTCCTAAAACTAGCTATCCCTTTGCTTGATATGTTCTCTACAGCATAAATAGAGGCATCCAAATCATACATTGAAGCAAGTATTGCAAAAGACTTTCCTTTAAACTTTGTCAAAGAAAAACCCAGTATTCGAAAATTTGCTTAACATGTCTGTGACTGAAAAGATCAGAGACTCAATTGATGAAGAAATCAGCAAATTGGTCGCAAGCATGAGATAAATTTTCAAACTAAATAAAGTCAATCCCACGACTAATTAACCAAATAATTGAAATACAAAACAACTACTCACTCGCATTTTCTTTTTACTTAATCTAATTATCCAGATATATCCTTATGGGGTTTTGGGGTTTTGGGGAGATCGGAAGAGCGTCGTGTAG